CGCACGACCTCCGAGCATGTGAACCTGAGGTTCCGACCATCTCAGGAACAGGCCTCGTGGGCCTCGGGCGATCACCTGCCTATTCCCCTAGCCAGTTCGGCTCCTACGAAATCAGACGCAGGGGAGAGGAAGCAGCATCTAAAACAGTTTCGTCACATGATGCGCTGAGAATGAGTTCGAACCCTTGGGCAGGCAAGGCCAGTTAAACAGGGCCCATCATGAGAAAACCATCAAGGTGAAGTCTGTCCAATATGCCTATGTCAAAACATAAAAGCTCCTCCAAGTTCAAAGGGCCCCAAGGGGTCGATGTGACATCCACATCGGCAGCTGCGGTGCAGGCTGAGTGGGAGCCACACGCACACACCGCAGGTGTGACTCCACGTTTCCTGGTAACCGCTTTCAAAAGGAAGAGAGAACTAATTTAAATGTGTCTTATGTAACCCGAGGTGGACAAATATTTCAACACGTAATCAATGGTCAAGAATTATCAGTGAGCTTTTCTACAGTCTTTTTCGACACTAAGTCTTCAAAACCTAGCCTGCACTTGATGCTCAGGGCACTTCTCAGTGTGTCCTGGCCGCATCTCGAGGGCTCGGCAGCACATGTGACCCACGGCTACGGCACGAGACAGCACAGGTCCCAATCTACCGCCAGTTCACAGGAAACGTGGGGACAGAGGAACAGAGGGAACGACGCCGTGGGGCGTAGGTGGCAACACCCAGACTGCGTGACGCCCAGGTTTGCGCGTTAATTGTTAAGAAAAAGGGGCCAAGAAACCTAAAGATGAAAAAGAGATTTAAAGATACGTGGACACTACTTAGATCCTGATCAACAAATGGCTTAAAAAAAAGTGAGATAATTGGAAGACTGAACAATGACTGAACACGCATTAAGAAATTACCGCTAATTTTTAAGTTGCGATAATGGCATTGTAACTACCTTTCTTCGAGAAACATTTTTAAGAAATACGTTCTAAAATATTCATGAATAAAATGATTCGACGCCTGGGAGTTACTTCAGGGTGGGGATGGTGGCATCCTCAGACGAAGGAAAATTAAAAGACTTCTCTGCCGGCAGACCCACTCACAGAGAATAACCCACGGAAGTCCTTCAAATAGATAGGAAATTATAAAGGAAAGACTTCTGGAGGAAAAAGGAAGAAAGAGCAGAAATATGGATAAATACAACTGATTATCCTTAGGAGTTTCCCACACCAGGTGATGACTGAAATAAAAATCGTAACACCACCCGATACACTCAATACAATAAGTGACAAGAAAGAGACCAAAGTCGAAGAAAGGTTTCTAACCTTTCAAAGTGGTAAGTGACACCAGTGTGTCACATGTTTATAGGGTAAAGTCCCAAGAAACCACTAGGAAAACTATACAAAGTCATTGCTCCAAAGACCGAAATAAATCAAGACAGAATCCTAAAAAACATTTAAGTAGCCGCCAGGAAGGACAGAAAGAGAGAAACAGAGGAACAAGAAACAGGAAACAAATAAAAAGACACATTTACCCCTAACATACCGATCATTATTTCAAATACAAATGGTCTAAATATGCTAATTAAAAGGCAAAGACTAGCAAAGTGGATAAAAAAAAGTGAACCATTACATGCTATTTATAAGAAACGCACTTCAAGTTCAACTACATAGGTTGAAAGTAAAAGGATCAAAAAAGATACATCACGCAAACGTAAACGTTAAAAAAAAAGCAGGTGTGTTCAAATACACACACCTCAGGTGAAGCAGACTTCGGAACAAAGAATGTCGCTAGAGACGAGGGGCATTGCGTAATGGTAAAAGGACCGTTCGCAGAAAGACATCCTCACCAAAAAACAGCCTCTTCCTTAAGAAGCCGAAGGGAGAACTAGACAAATCCAGTTACAGCTGGCGGTCCGACTCCGACGCCCCCCAACACTGACAGAAGCACCGGACAGAAAACCCACCGGAATCGGAAGACAGGAACAGCACCATCGACCAGCACGCTCTGCTACAACAGGAACTCAGGACAGTCCCTCACATTCCGCCAAGCAAGAACACACGCTAACGACCGTGGAAGTCCGCCAATACAGGCCCTACTCTGGGCCCCAGGACAAAGTTCAACGAATTTAAAAGAACCGAAATCATATAGAGTATGCTCTCTGGACGTGAAGAAGACGAACTACGAATTAATAACAGAGAGGCGACGCAAAGGTCTCTCAAACACTCGGCAATCAAGCACCGCACCACGAAATAAGCCAGGAGTCAAGAGCAAATCTCAAAGGAAATACAAGGAACAGAACTGAGTAACGAGAGAAGAAACCTCGCGGCATGCGCGAGTCAGGCGGAGGCGAGGGGGGTCCCTGGCACCCGCACGCTCGCTGGAGAAGGAAACGCCTCGGATCGCTAGTCTGAGCTGCCGCCTCCAGAAACGACGAGCAAACTCAGCCCACGGCAAGGGGGGGCGGGGGCAGCACAGGGGTGAGGGCAGGAGTCAGGGAAATCGGAAACAAAACAAACAAACGAAAAACAATGAAACAAAAAGCTGGTCATTTTTAACGACGTCACCGCAGCTCCTCCCTGGTGTCCCTGCGGCCGCACTGCACCCCCACCCACCCACCAGCATGCTTCTCTCCAGCGCCACATGCTCCAATCGCTGCCGGCAACGGGGACAAACACGGGACCCATTCCGCCCCCGCCACACTGGACAGCGGAGGCTCCCATGTGGACTCCGCCCTTCTGCCCTCCTGCCACCTCCACCCACAGGTGGGGCTGGCCCACAGTGCACCAGGAACGCCCCTCTCCCGTGACCGCAGCACGGGCCGTGTCTGTGTTTAAAACGTTTTTGCCCAGATTTTCACATCTGTGCTCTATACAGACAATAGAATATCATTCATCCCCAAAAGAGGTAGGTTCTGACACGTGCTGCTACCTAGACGGACCTGGAGGACATTACGCCCAGTGAAATAGCCAGACACAGGACAAATACCGGAGGATCCCACTCACAGGAGGGCCATAGAGGAGTCAGATTCATAGAGCAGATGCTGGGGCCGGGGGGCGGGGAGTGAGTGTGTAATGGGGACAGTTGCTGTTTGGGACAAAAACAAAGTTCAGGAAGTGGAACAGGGCTGATAGTTGGCACCCAATGCCACTAAACTGTACACTTTAAAATGGTCAGGATAGGTTTTGTGTTATGTATTATTTTAACACAGAAAGAGAGACAGAGACAGAGACACAGAAAGGCAAAGTAGAACAGGGCCTGGCAAACATGTTCTGCAAAGCACGAAAGAGAAAGTGTTCTTGGTCTCTTTCCCAAATACTCAAATCTGCCAACACAAAAGGAGCCACCGATAATAGGCAAACAGATGGGCGCGGCTGTGTGCCGATAAAACTTTATTCGCCAAAACAGGCAGGGGGCCGGATCTGGCCTGCGGAGGGCAGTCTGCCAACCCGGATGTGGAGCGTGCCACTGTGGTCTGTTTGTTGACGTGCACGTTCACACTTGTTTACGCACAGGATGTCCCCGGAAGGCGCCGGAACAGGCATGTCGCCAGAAAGGAGAACGGGGGTGGCCAGGCAACAGAGAGGAAGGAAAAAATGTTCACTGTGGCTCTCCTACCTTCTAGATTCTGATGCACTTAAAGTTTTTACCTATTTGCCAGATCTACGACGACAAACAAAAGAGCACGAGGAAGGCTCGCATCTCCAGCCGGGCCGAGAGCTGCTCCCGGCAGGCGCACGGTGTCGGGAGATCACCTGGGGGCCCAGGGAGGCGTGGAGCCCGGAGGCGGAGGGGGCTGCAGCCCTGCAGAGGGCGCTGCCCGGACGGCCACTCACCCGAGCCGGACGTTGGCGTACAGCTCCCGTGCTGTGCGGGTCTCACGCTTCCGCAGGATCTCGGCGTCGTACCAGAAGCCCCGGTCCTTCGGGTTGTCAGGGTTGTAGTTGAGCATGACCTCCTGGCCCACCTCCAGCTCCTGCCACTTGAGGATGTGCCGGGCACGGGCCCGGACGTCCTGGGAGCTCATCTGGACCACCCCGTTCTCCGGGTAGCTGCGGGGAGAGCCACGTTCAGACCCCAGGCGACGCCCACCACGAGCCCTCCGCGGAGGGACAGGACACGGGTCTGAGTTCCTCTCGCCATGGCAGCTCGCAGAGTCCCCTCCCCCACCATCTCACATGCTGGTGTCGGAAATTCACAGGTGCAGAGGACACACTTCAATTACAGACGGTGTTGAGGGTTGATGCGTGTCCCCCGAAAAGGTAAGTCGGAGGCCTAATCCCTGGCACGTGGGAATAAGCAGGGTCTTCGCGAGTGTTAATTTGATTACAAGTTAAGATGAGGTTACGCTGCCTTAATCCGGTGTGACTGGTGCCCTTGTAAGAGGGAGTCACAGACACACAGGACACAGGAAGACGGAGACAGCGAGTGGAGCGACGTGGCCCCAAACACCGGGCTGCCGGCCAACACCAGAAGCTGGAAGAGGCGGGAAGGGCCTCCTGCAGCTTGCGGAGCAAGCGCAGCCCGCTGCCGCCCTGGTCCCTGGTCGTGGACTCCCGGCTTCCAGAACCGTGAGAACGAAGTTACTGTAAACCACCCGGTCTACGGCCCTAGGGAAGCGATAGAGAAATGGGGGAGGGGGAAGCCTGAGCTTTCTCCAGACGCACGTATCAGAAAGGGTTTCTGCAGAGGGACGGCCGTCACCTCATTTACGTTAAGAAGAATGTGTCAGAGGTTAGAACACAGCAGGTCATCTTGAACATGCGGGAATAGTCCAGCAGCCTCGAAAAGGCATAAAATAACAGCTGGAGGAAAACACGTTGTCAGGACAGAGTGAACCTCGACTGCAAGGGGGACAAGCCCAAGATCAGCAGCATCACCGGGATGAAGGTGCCAAGCTCTTCCGGTGAAGGGCCAGACAGCAAATAAGCTGGAAGGTCTCTGTCACGAACACTCAATTCTGTTGCTATCGCCAAGAAAGTGGTCACAGGTAATATGAAAATGGATGGGCGCTGACGTGTTTCAATAAAGCTTTGTTTACAAAAACACGCGGTGGGCCAGACTTGGCCCTCGGGCTGTAGTCTGCAACCCCCTAAGCAAGAGGAGAATCCTGCATATACTGTGATTCACTCATTCAGTTACTCTAATTGTTTTTACAGAGCTAGGCTTAGGACGTGCCCAAGACCAGAGCAGGCAGTAGGGGCCCCACAGAGACCCAGAAGCAGCCCCGAGCCCCCAGGATGTGATGCCCACGGGCAGGCATGCTTGCCCCCCGGTATGGACTGCATGGTGTCCACCCCCAATTTCACGCATTAAAGTCTTGACCCCAAAAGTGACTGTATTTGAGGACGGGGCCTTGAGGGAGGTAACTGAGCTTAAATGAGGTCATACTGCTGGGGCCCTCAGCTGACAGGATGGTGTCCTTGTAGGAGACACCAGAGCTGGCTTTTTGTGGGTACAGAGGAAGGGCCACGTGACAAGGAGAGGAAATGGCTGTCCACGGGCAGGGGGTGGGACCCTCACAAGAACGAGAGCTGCCAAGCTTCCTGTGCAGAGCCAGACCCGCCAGCACCTCCAGCCCCCAGAACTGTGGAAAAGCGACGCCCAACATCTGAGACGCCAGGACGTGCTGTTACCGCGGTGACCCAAGGACACTGAGGTGCCCTCTGGGCTCTGACACAAGGCTCCCTGTGCCCAGCACAGGGCCTGGAACACAGTAAGCGCTCAGGAGCTACTGTCACATCCAGTGGGGGAGGGATGCCACGCCGGTTTCAGGCAGCGACACGCAGCGTGAGCGACACATGGAGGAGACAGGACCTGGGCTGGGTTCTGACCGGCAGAGCAGAGTCTCCAGAGAGGCGAGGAGGGCTCGGCCTGGATCTGGGTCTCCATAGCACTGGGCTTCTAGGGGTGACCTCCTATGTGGTTTGGAAGCCTGAGGGTGGGGTCCCCAAATCCTGACCATCATCCCCAGGGCTGTGCCAAACCCCAGGTCTCACACAGAGAGCCAACACTCCAAGCCCGCCTGCCTGCGGCGACACTCACTCGTCGTATTTCACATGGTAAATGACGTCTCCTTCCGGCGCTGAGCAGGAGGCTGAGCTGCAGGGCTCGTCCTGGGCTGGCGCCCTCCTGGTCACCTTGACAACCTGCGCCTCAAACCATGCGCCCATGTTGGTGTCCCGAGCGTCGACATACTCATTGACCTGCGAGGAGAGAGATAACTCTCATCCGACCCACAGCACCGATGAGGGCCCGCTTCCGACCCACGGGCCGATGCCTGGGGCCTGGGACGCCAACTCGGTGCCTGCGGGGCTTCCCGCTGTGGCGCTGTGGACATCTGGGGCCCGGCCGTCCACTGTCGCGCCGTCCTGGGCACCAGCGGTGCTGAGCAGCATCCCTGGCCCCACCCGTTCACTCAGGTCAGCAGCACCCCCAGTCATGACAACCACAGATGTCCCCATCGTCCCCTGGGGGCAGGACCATCCTGCTGTGCTGCCCGAGGAGGCTGGAACGGCCCATTTTTCAAGAAAAGCTGAGAATCCAGATCGCTAGGTGAATTTTCGTCACATTAAAGGATGAGGAAGCCAGCGAAGCCAGAAATTCTACAGCCACTGCACAGACCGCAGAGAAGGCGCGTGCGGCCTGGACGCCCCCAGGGGAGGGATGGGGAGCAGCGCACGATTCTGCCACAGGAGCTTCCGGAGCTAGGCACGGCGGGACTGGGGTGCCCCACCACAGGGATGGAGGGGAGCGGGCCGGCCCTCATGACCTGCGGCGGGGGCCAGGGAAGGCAGAGGGCTGTGGGGAGTGCTCCCTGGGGACCGGAGACCGGCCGCCCCCACACCTTCCGCAAGGGCCTGGCCTCACCTTGTACAGGCCCAGCTCCGTGTCGTCCCACGCGTCCTCGTCCCCCTCGGCCGCCTTCCCGTCCGTCTCCACAGCCGCCTCGCCGCTGTTGGAGGACTTGTCCGACTCGCTCTGGCCCAGGCAGCAGCCAGAGTCGGTGTCCGAAAGCTCAGAGTCCCTCTCCTTGCCGCCGCCGCCACCGCCGCCGCCGCCACCAGGGGGCAGCACGAGGCTCTGCCGCACCAGGAGCTGGATGGTGTCATTCAGGCGGACGTCATAGTCAAAGAGGGTGTGGCCGTCCTCCATCTGCAGAGACAGGGGACGGGGTCACTCCGCGCCAGACGTGCAGTGCGCATCTGTGGGCAGTGGGAACGGGCCCTGGGCAAAGGACCGAATGTGCCCTCGGGTGAGGGGACAACAAAATTCGCCCACTCCTGAGGGCGCACACGGCCATCCCTTCCGCAGGTCCCCAGACCCTCTCGGATGAGGGCTCCTGGTGTCGTATGGTGACCGTCCCAAGCACACGGCATGGCCCCGCTGGGCTGTGGACACACACCGGGCATCCCGAGGTTTACTTTATGTGTATTTTATGTTTTGCGACTTTTGTTACAGCAAACGTGAGTTGCTTTTATCACTGGTTCTCAGTCGAGGTGATCCTCAGGGGACAATGGTGTGCAATGTCTGGGGACATGTGTGGTTGTCATGGGTGAGGGGGACGCTCCTGCCATCAGATGGGTGGGGCAGGGATGCTGCAAACCCCCCAGTGTCTGGGACGGCCCCCCACGGTGTGACCCTGCCCCGATGTCGGCCGTGCGGGATGGGGCAGAGGGACCTGGCCTGTGTGAACCCGAGGAGGCCCCCCAACCCCGCTAGCCTCCCAGGGAGGCTCTAGCTAGAGTTTTGCCCACTCAAGGCGCCTTCTAGGATCCAGTAACCCACCCTCTCTGTTAATGCCTTCGTGCTAACTCCACCCACACCGGTTGACTGCTAACAGGACCTGATGGCCAGCACAGCTCAGCAACTGGCACCCCTGGGTGTCACTCAGTAGGCGCGTGCAAAGAAGTATTGTCATCTGAGCTGCATCCTAAAGCACCAAGGAGTCGCCTTTTATTAGAAACTGTCACATAGGAATGTGCCAGCATCCAGCAAGGACCTTGCAAGTCCATCCTGTTTTATCTAGACCTAAGGCAGATCTCCATCCCTCCCGGCACTGTGACCCTGGGGCCCGATCATGCTGTAGGGGGCCAAGAAGCATCCCTGCCCCCACCCACTTGGTGCCAGGAGCAGCCCCTAATTGTGATGACCACAGATGTCCCCAGGTGCCCAGTGTCCCCTGCAGGCAGAACACCCTGGGTTAGAAGGAGTGCCCTTAAAAAAAAGAGAAAGAAAAAACATACACAAAAGATCAATTTTCCTTCCTTCCCAATTTTTACCAAAAGCTGGCGGGTTCAAAGGACTGGTTGCCGTTAATATGTCAACAGCACAGTGGAGGCCAGTTCCATGTCCACGGTCATCCTTCACCACAAACCTGAGAAACTGATGGGTGATGACCCTCTCGCCCGCTGACGCATCCAAACACCTCGACACTCGCCTACAGCCGCAGGGGCCACCTGGATTTCCAGTCCCACTCTACCTGCTCACCCAGCAGAGAGTGAGAGCTTCCGACGTGCCTGGCACGGCCCAGGTACCACAGGGAGGACAGGGCGAGTGAGACATGGCACCAGTTCGACACGGGGCCACAGAGAACAGCCATGACACCAGACAGAGGTGACAAGGACGGGAAGAGACAAGTCAGCCTGTGCACCCATGTTCACAGCAGCAGCCTGTGTCACAGTAACCCGGGGTGGAAACAGCCCGGATGTCCACTGACGGACAAATGGAGAAACACGAGCTCGTCTGTCCACACACTGCGGTGTGGGCTCATCCATCGTGACACGTGCTCTGCTCTGGTGCCTGACGTCGACTGTGCGGGGAGCTGTGGGGGGTGGGGCACATGGAAATCACTGAACCTGCCTCTTAGTTTTGCCGAGAAGGTAAAATTGATCTAAAAAATAAAGTTTATTAATTTGCAAAAAAAGATGGAGAGAGACAAGTGTCCCCAGCATAACTGTGACAGGAAAATCTGCAGAGGTATTAAAATCGCCAAATGGTAGTGAAAAGGATGAATAAGACGCTCACACTCTGGGGCCCCCCATCTCCCCAGTTAGGCAGACACCCCATGATTCTGAGCCAGAGCATTCCCTGTGGCGGCGTCCTGGGCACAGTGGGGTGATGAGCAGCATCCACAGCCTCTACCCACACATGATGTCAAGAGCATCCCAATCATGACAGCCACAGATGTCCCCAGACATGGCCCAGTATCTCCTGGGGGGCGGAGTAGCCCCCTGAGAACCAGTGACTAGAGAGACTCTCATATGTGTACCCGAGGGACACGAACGTCAGTGTCCCCAGCACGTTCACGGCAGCATTACTCGCAAACAAAAGTGACTTTTTCTCACAGCTGCGTGACAGGGAAACGCAGCAGCGACCCCACACACGTCAAAGGAGACGAGGACGGCTTCAGAGAACAGGAAATAAACCCGGCCACCGGAGTATGACAGCCAGCAGCAGAGCCGAGTCAGGACGGAGCACACGGTCAGCTTTCTGCTCCACACAGAGCAAGAGGCCGCGCTGGAGAGGAGAGGCCGGGGTGGGAGACTGGGCGGCCGGCTGGGAGGCAGATGCACCGAAGTGAGCGCTGGGGGTGTGGGGTAGGGAAGGAGCGCCGATGTGGGCTCAGCAGGCACCCTGATACCGCCTCCCCCCGGTGAGCCCCTCGCTGGGTCTGACCCAGGCTGACGGCACTCCCACCTGCTCAGGCCCGGGCTCTGCGGAGGAGGGGACATGCCTCCCAGTGCAAGCGTGCGGACAGTCACAAACGGGGCAGGGCATGGGCGGGCAAGGGGGCACTAGGGCTAGGCCAGGCTGGCCCGGAGCGCCGCCTCCAAGGCATAATTCGTAAGCTGTTCCAGCGGCTTCCAGAGGCCCCTTCTGGAACTTTCCAGAAGGGCCCTGCAGTCCGCAGGAAGACGCTTGCACAACTGCTCACTGTGCTGAGGGAGGGCGGGTGTGCGCACGTGCACCCCTCTGCCCTCCCCGGCCCCCACTTCCCCAAAGCTGTGTGGCCCATTGCGGGAGAGAGGTTAGGCCCGGCCTGCCTAACGCCAGCAAGTCCGTGGGATGCAATGTAACCGTCCAAGTCTGGGGTTGGTACCAAGATCCTGAAATCCCAACCGAGGCTAATGACGTCAATAAGAGCATTGAACTGAGTGACGATGAGCCTCACTTGACGCTAGAAATTACGACGTTAAAATTAAACCTGAAGTTAAAATCCTGTACGACCAAAATTCCCACTGAAAATCCCTTAACTTGCATGTGTAAAGCATGTACAGCTATCCCTAGGTATCCATGGGGGACTGGGTCCTGGACCCCCGAGGACACCGGAGTCCCTCACGCAGAACGGTGCAGCATTTGTCCACGACCCGTCTGTGCACGAGGCCGCGTACGGCACTTCGTGCACGGGGATTCGGCGTCGTGCTCGGCGTGGGGCGAACCTGGGTTTTGCCTGTATGTGGTTTGGGGCCGATCACCCTGTACTGTAGACTCAAGTCTGAGGACAAACTGCCCGCGCTATTTAAATTACGTCTCTCTCTCTAAACCGAGTATGCTTCCTGGGTGTTTGAAATTTTGCACCATGAGCATCACGTAAAACTGAAACAAACACATACACGATTTAACAACTAAGCGCCCAGTTCCTTTTGTAAACTTAGATTAAAAGCTTGCCATGCCTGCTTCTGCCCACTTTCTGCCCCTCGTGACATTCCTGGGGGATATTTCTCAGGGTGCCGAGTGCTGCCCAAAGACACAGAGGGCAGGTGACACATGCCACTGGGTTGGCACGTGATTCCCCGACTGGCTGAGAGGTGGCACTCTGGGCGAGGGGCTATAACCCGGACCGTGGGGTCCACCCGAGGGTGCTGAGAGCCTCAAACCGAGATGGACCTCGAGCTGGAGGAAAGGAGCATCCCATGGCCCGACCACTGAGCCTGGGGGGAGAGGAAATGAGACCGCCGCCTCTCCTCCTCGGGACACGGCCCCGGCCCCCCGCCTTCCCACGTCAGGAAGCAGCACCCCAGATGTGGCAGAAACACAACTGTCCACTTGGGAAGGAGAGCACAGAGTGGACGGCACCTCCAGGACAAGCATGTCCCTCACCTCCTAGCCCCGCACGGACATGGAGGGCGCGTCCGGCATGACGGTGAACTCTGCCCTTTGACCCCAGGGGGCCGCAGCTGAGGACATGTCCTGGAGCAACGTTTCGGCAGGAGGACAGTCTCACAGGGGTTCGCCTGCACCACGTGACAGGACCCACCATGCCCTGGCGCCCAGGGCGACGTGCAGCTGCGGGCTGCAAACGCAGCTGGCCCCCAGCTCTGCCCCTGGGGCCCTTAGCCACGTGGACGCGGGGAAAGGGGGCCTGAGACCCAACAGTCCGAGCCCCCTGCCCCGGGAAACTCCTGCGACACAGCGCCCCGGGGCCTCTCCCAGCACACTGCACGGCAGTGCGTCCACAATGAAACCTGGCTGCACAGCCCAGGGGCAGGATCCAAGCATGGGTGACTGGCACATTGAGGCCAGCGTGACGCTTCTGCCTGCACCTGTTTTTGTAAATAAAAGGCACCGTGACCCCTAATGGAACACGCCCGTTCGCTTATGCTGTCAGTGGCTGCTTTCCCACTCCAGCGGTGGAGGTGAGCGGTCCCACAGGGACAAAGATCTACCTTCGGGCGCTTTACACATGCAGTCTGCGGACCCCTGGCTTAGAGGGCGTGCCCTCCCGAGAAGGAGACCCTCCCTCAAGCAGCCTGAAGGACGGGTCTCTGTGAGGCGACAGTCCTCTCTGCTGCCTAACCCTCTGGGAAGACAGGCAGCGTTCAGGAAAGATCAATAAACAGGGACGTTTGGTGGGGCACTGTGACATGAGTGACCCTCACAAGGCCATTCCGAGGACACCAATTCAGTGGATCTTTCAGATCGACATGAACACAGCTTTGAGGCCAGCAAAGCCAACTGAGCTGTTTTTCTAAAGTAAAATATCTGCTATAGTAATAGTTCTCAAGTACGGGTGATGCCATCCCCAAGGGGTTGTCATGACTGGGGGTGCTCCTGGCATGGCGTGAGTGGGGGCGGGATGCTGCTTCACACCCCACAGTGCCCAGGACGGCCCCCCACAGTGCCCTGGCCCTGACGTCAGCAGTGCAGGGGGAAACTGAGCCTGGTTATTGCATCTTTACCGTGAGTCAGGCGTGGGGCTTGTTACCTCACTGAATTCTCACCGTGCCACAGGTGGCGGGTCCACAATCAGCCCTGTCTGAACAGTCACCAGCCAGGCCGCTTGGCCAGGGGAGTGGTGATTGTTACTTTAAACACAAAGCATTGTGTCCGAGCTTTGCCACAAAGCTGTGCCACGAATGACAGCTATTGTTATTTTTACGGGCAGCCAGAAAACAGCCGCCAGATGCCGCTCCCCTTGCCCAGGCTGGGCCTGCCGCCCCAATTCCCTTCCCCCATAAGTTCCCTGCATTTCCGCCAATCAAGCGACATAACCGCCAACCTATTCAGCTTAACAAGGCGCCACGAAACCCTCCCATATCCTGAAGACTCAGCTATATTCTGCTTTATGGTCTTAGTCAATCTCCCCGCAGACCTTGGACTGCTGTGCATGTTTCTTCAACAGGAAAAAAAAAAAAAAAAAGGACTGCATACACTCTTCCAGAACATTCTGGAAAAACAAGAGCCCTCTGGAAGCCGCTGGAAATTGCACTGCTTTCTGTCACTGTTAGTCCGCTCCGTTCGAAGACTTTACTCGCTTTAAGCTGCTGCCTTTGTCCCCCACCCCCTGTCACTGTCCACACCTCCCAGCGGCCAGGCCAGTTCCGGGCCAGGCAACCTTGGGGAAATTGCATCAGGCTGAGGCCTGGCTTCCTCACTCGGAAGACAGAAATGACCGCGCACTCCCTCAGAGTTCCCAGGTGGGGCGCGGTGGGGCGCGGTGCCGGCAGCAGGAGCCGGGGACGAGGGCACCTCCTGGCTAAGAGCCTTGCCCCTCATCGCCGACAGCCCCCAAGTTCAAGGCACGACGCACGCGCAGAAACGCACGCGGGCTCTGCTGTCATCATCGTGTTCTGCGCCTTACGCAGATGTCACCAAGACTTCTGAATGGATCGAACACTATGTGACGAGGGAAGGGAGACATGGGTGTGGTCACGTGGGTGTGGACATTTGTCCGAACTCCAAGGGGTCTGCTTAAGATGTGTGTCTCACTATATGCAAATTTCACCTAAAAACGATTTCCACGAATAGTGAACTCTCGTTAACGATAGGCACAATGAGTGTTTAGGACTGACGTGAACTTACTTTGAAATGCATTCCCAAAAATAAAACAGGTTGGCAGACGGGCAGAGAAAGCTGAGAGCCGCATGATAACGCAACCACACAAAACTTCAGTGGTAAAATCCAGGGCTGGGTGTTTGTGTTCGTGGCTCTTTCAACTTTTCTGCATGTTTGAATTGTCAGATTAAAATGCACAGTGCCTGGCACACGGCAGGCACTCAAATATATGCTCTCCTTGAACCTGAGAGGTCTCGGCCCAACCCGCCTTTGAACTACACCAAGAACCGTTTCGCAGGCACACGCAGGTTTTCAAGAACTCTGAAAGGACCTCCTGCTGAGTGGCAAATATGGACCGAGTGGCAAATCAGAATCGGCGTGGACACCACGAAAATGAGCCACTGTGGGAAGAGGCAAAAGACAGATCGGCCCAGTGGGCTCCACTCCCAGCCCCCCTTTCTCAGCGCGCACGCGACCGCACAGGCCCCAAGTGCGCAGGACCAGCTCTCCCTCCCCGGGCGGAGCAAGTTCACTCAGGTTGAGATGTTCGAGTCACCCTGTCTCTCACAGGAAGGAGGCCAGAGGTCTCCCGGGGCTCCGCAAGCCGGAGAAATTAATCATCACATCTTGCTTTGCGTAAGTGCGCCGGATCCTCCCAGCCCCCAGAATCGTGGCCAGGCAGAGCGTTTATTTTTCAATCTAGACACCAGATGGCGGCAGGATCCTGTTCAAAATGCAACAACAAAGTCGGGCACACACGGCCCAACTGAAGACTTTCAGTCCAGTTCGCTGCCGTCGCTGCAACCCACCCAGCTCCGGGACAGTCCCAGCACACGGGACCGTCACGTCGTTGTACCCTCACTTAGGGAAACCCCACTCCCAGTACACGTCCCACCGTCCCCCCCAAAGACACCCACAAAACTGGAAACCCCCCAGTGCCACTGGAGAAAGCGTCCCAATTGTGGTCAGCCGCTAAAGCAAGGGTGGCCATTTTAAATGCTACGAGGGGCTGGAGAGGGAGCACGGAGGAAGGAAACCGAGGAGCAGCAGGGCCGCAGACCCCAGGAAGCGCCAGCCCCTGCTCACAGGCGGCCCTGCCCAGAGCGGCCGGGCGGGCGGCGGAAATGCCTCATCTGCAGGCACCGTCTCCAGCCTCGGAAGGAGCTAATCCAAATTTCCAGAAAACAGCCCCTGTGCGATCAAATGCTAAATAGGCGTGGGCCGTGGGCCACCGGTGCATCTCAAAGAACTGGTCTCTCCTGTCCTAGCGTTTGCGTAACAGAGTCTAGGTTTTTCCTCGAAATTCATCGGCCCTCTGTCAGCCGCCTCCAACTTCTTTTTCTAGAGATTTTCAGGGAGGCCTCAAAAACAATAAGAGAAAAAGGGAGTTTTAAGAGCCCAAATGCTACAGATGCGAGTGCCAGCTGCCTGCCCAGTGTGTCAATCTGCGAGTTGAGCCTTTGTTCCTGGCTCAGGCGTCTGAGTTTTCTGCGGAGACGTGAAGCGGGACCAGGCGAGGGGGGAGAGCGGGTGTGCTGGTGGCCGCCAAGGAGCAACGCCTGGGCGAGACGAGAACAAAGGTGCTGAGCGGGCGGGCAGCCTGCGGGGCGGGTTTACCTGCTTGCCCCGGTAGAAGAGCCTCTGCAGGCCCGGCTCCACGTGGAACAGCTCCTGGATCTTCTTCCTCAGCTCTTCCACCTTGGTCAGCCTGGACAGCGAGTCCACGGTGTGGGCGACCTTCCCGTCCATGGTGCGAACCTGGATCCACATGGTGTCCGCTGGTGCTGAGAAGGGCAGAAAACGGGTGCCTCGGTCAGTCCTGCGGCCGCCACCACCAGCCGGCCCTGCCATACTCGGGTCATCCTTGCTTTTGTCCAGTCCGTGGACACCAGGAAACTCTGGGAACGCCCTCTCAGGCCCCTTGTCCCCGCAGACCGCCAGAGCTGGCACAGGGCCCAGCAGAGTAAATGAAGTAGTTAGTGCGTTAATGACTAGCACCGGTGGAGGGTTGAGGAGGAAGGGGAAATTAGGGGAAGGAAAACAGCACCTTGGACCACTCCGTCCAACCCACATCCCCCCCGTTTTCGGAGTAAAAAGACACCAACGTCCAGAGCAGGGCAGAGGACACCGCCAAACGGTGCTGGCCGAGTTCGTTCGTCCGCTCGTTCATTCATTCATTCATTCCCTGGACTAATACTGACGCCAAGAGAGAAACCCAAAAGTCCGGCGCGGGTCGGAACTTCCTAAGTCCCTGGGAACTCAAGTAAGTGTGGCCGAAGGGGAAGAACGCCACCGGACACCAGCGAGCCCCCGACCCCCCGGCGCCCGCGGGCCCCTGTCGCC